GGCAGATTGGCCACAGAGGGCCTCGAAGGAGCTTTTGGGGCTGTTGGAAATATTGTAAACCCTGGCCATGGTGACGGTTACGTGACTGACGGCATTTGCCGGAACTGTAGAGCAGTATGCCTAAGAGGATGACATTTACTGCGTATCGATTGTATTTCAATAAATCTGGCTTTAGAAAGGGAGTTAAAATATTGAACTGGTCCTTTTAAACCTAAGTGATTCTGCCTGCGTAAGCAGGACCGGGAGGAGCTGCTCGTTTCTCCTCCGTGGTTCACGCTGATGGCTCTTCCATGGCCCGTTCCTTCGCGCCAGGCACCTGCTGGCCCGTGTACCCACTGCCACAGTTCACTCATTCGCGACAATTCCAGTATCAGTGAGGCTAGTAACCGTATTGAACATACCAAATATTTTAAAATTCATTTGTGAGTTCATAATGATACTAAGAAAAATAAAAATGAAAAATTCATTGGCCACTTTTAGAGGATACTAGGGAATCAACTTATTTTGAAAATCGGTAAAGTAAAAAAACCCAAAACACACAAATATTGATGCTGCATTTCTCATTTAACCTGTCTGTCAGGGTGCCCAAACTGGCAACGAGGAAAAGCCCCTCTTTGTACACCAGTTAAGTTGGGGGCAGTAATAGGGTTAAAAGAGCACCACTTTGCACCTCTGTTAATAAATCTAGCCAGTGATCAATGTTTCCTATCATCACAGAGAGACAGCCAGGGTTTATGTCCTTGCTGATGGAAACACACACCACCACCTATAGAGTATTTGTGCCAGAAACGCAAAGCTGAATCTGATACAGATTTTCTATTTTAGATACAGAATTTTGGGAAGTGCAGGGGATGGAGACACATGTTAATACCATGGGGGTACAATCAATAAAAGCCAGACTCTGAAACTCAGGGAGACAACCCATTTCTTTAACAAGTAGGGGGAAGAAAAGGAGAGAGAGTCTATAGGTCAGAAGAGACTTGAGACAGACACAATTGCAATGGATAGATCTTATGTGGATCGTGATTTGAATGAAACCAAACAGAATATAGATAAATTAATTGGGGGAATTTCAACATTGATAAATATATATAGATATAAAGGGATTATTTAAAGGTTTTAGATACAATAATGGCATTTGGNCAGAATATAGATAAATTAATTGGGGGAATTTCAACATTGATAAATATATAGATATAAAGGGATTATTCAAAGGTTTTAGATACAATAATGGCATTTGATGTTCTTTTAAAAGGAGTTTTGTTGGAGTTCCATAAGGAAATATTTACAGATGTTTATAGATGCTAGGTGTAGGTTTTATCTTGGTCAGCAGAATGGATGTAAATTATTACCAACCTTGTGGAATTTTAAGTCTCCAGGAGGCGGCAGATGGTGTAAATAAGAATAGACTGTAAATTGTGAAGGAAAGTGAACTCGGCTCGGTGGCAGAGAATCACAGGGAAGGACGATGTCCCCGCTGGCGAGGGCAGGTGGTGCCGGGCCAGCCGAGACCCGGAGGCCGGGAGCAGCGGTGGGCGGCGCAGACCGTGGGGGACAGGCTGCCGGGAACTGTGGGGCGTGGGCTCCTCGCCCCACTCCACGGGCACGCTCTGACCGTCCGGCCCCGGCTGACGGGTGGTTGCTGCTGCTGTCTGGAGTGTGTTCGCGTGTGTCTGACCTCGGGTCTACCGAGCGTGACCCCTGGAGCTGCCGCTCAGCCTGCGTAGTCCCGTGCCCTGAGTGGTGTCTAGTGCGCACCTGCTACCTGTGGCTTGGCAACTGTCAGGATGTGAATAGGAACAGCATCGCGTCTTTGAACAGAAGGATCAGCAATTCAAATGACGTCCATCCTAGAGATCCGGGGAAATCAGAGGAGCATGTCTTGGGTTCTGGATCCTATTTTACTAAGAAAACTCAAGCAGCTCCTGTCCTTTAGTTACCCTTGGGCTCTTGTCAGAGTAATAAGAAGGACTGCTTTGTGAACGGCTTCCATTTCTTCACGAGTGAAACATGTTCTGTTGTAACTCATTTAAGTAGTACCATATTTTCCAGTGATCAGGATCAGGCATAACTCAGTAAATGTTAAATAAGTAAACGATTGGTACCTGGTGCAAACTTCTCTTTGCCAGAGCCTTCGCTTTGAGCCTGTATCAGAGCCCTCCACTGTGTTTGTCAGTGATTCTTTTATACTTTGTTCTGTTTTCTTAGAATGTTTTTAAGGACTGTGTCTTTTTTCCTGAGCCAAGTATTAGCGCTGTGGGCAGGAGTGTGTGCGTGCTTGTGCGCGTGTGTGTGGTGGGGGAGGCGCTGCTTGCTTTTCACATGACCATTTCTTGGTATCTTTTAGACATATTACCGATGCTACACTTGCCATTGTGAAAGGAGAGACAGTGCCACTTGATGTCTTGCAGATCAAGGTAAGTCCTTTCTTGAGATTGAAAATATTAAGTCATCACAGGGAGAAAACGAAATGTAGCAGTTCAGCTAAGTGTAGTTCCGTTCTAGTAATCACCAATAAGTATGCTTATGATGCTACTTTTAAAAACTGTGTTAAAAATATACATAAGATTTACCACCGTAACCATTTTTGTGTCCGGTTCAGCACTGTTAGGTACACGATGCTGGTTTTGGTTTATCAGTTTCGACCTTGTCTCTTCGAGAGAATTCCTCTGCATCTCCTCCCAGTACAGCCGTGTCACTATTTTTAGTGCCTCTCTTGATTAACCATGGACCTAAAGTATTTCCCTGCCTCCTGTGGCTGAGCTACTGAGCATAAAGCACTTAGGACAGGGCCTCATTCCATCCTACCTGTTTTTCATGGCGGCCTCCTGTCTCCCGTGTTCGGCCAACGGTGAACACCTTCTCTTGTCCCACCTGTCCTTTGCTCTGCTTGCCTTTCTTTGGAAGTCAGGTCATTTGGTTATCTTACCATGTCAGCTTTCTGAGGGGCACACAAAGTATTGTGATTTTTGTAGATTTTCTGGCTTTTTCTCATCTTTGGGGTGGGAACAATGTTCTTTGTAGTTTTCTACATCCTGGATGGGAGCAGAGCTGCTTATTTTTGTAATATGTTGCCTGACGCTTTCTGATTGATTTGTAGATGGACTCATGGATTGTTCTAGAAATTTGTTTGTTGGCTATGCAAATATATTGCTTAGAACCAGTAACACCCAGCAGCCACGAGCATACCTGGCACCCAGATTTTGGTCTCTAAAGCCATTCTCTGCGATGAGTTACCAGGACTCTGTGAGGGCTGGCTTTCAGAGGCAGGGCAAGAATAAGATGTGGAGGTGCTCAGAAACCAAGGCAGGCAACGCGAAGGCGGAGAAGCCTGCCAGAGGGCATCCCGCTGGCCAGTTTGGGGACAGTTGGAACATCAAGAAGAAGAATGAAAGTGAATTATAATGCATTAAGTGAAAAATGAAGAATCCGTGGTTCCACAGTGAGATCACAGAATTGCTAGACTGTAAATACAGAAGGAATGACAGAGGGAGAGAATTACCATTTTGTAATCACCAGCGAAATCACTGATTCAGGCAGCTGCTAAAACTATTAGATAAGAGGTTGTTGGGAAACAAATACCCACACAGTATCACAGACTACTTAATAATTGCAAGGGGAAAAATACGCCTTAATATGACTTCCATCCTTAAACGTTGCTGTTAGTTGTGTAGCGTAGGCTGTAAGCAGGTTTATAGTTGGCGAACCCATGAGCTTGCACCTCTCCTCCTGGACTCTCCACCATGACCTCGCTGGTCATGATAAAAGCGACCTTAGTTACCAGTGAGTCTTTGGCATATAATAAAGCTAAACTGTTCTCACAAAATGGAAGGGGATCCAACCCCCAACCTGGGTATGTCCCCTGACCAGGAATGAAACCAGTGACCTTTTGGTGCACAGGACAGCACTCAACCAACTGAGCCACACCGGCCAGGGCTGACTGGAAATTTTTAAACATCTCTTGTCTCCTTTATCTTTTTCTTTCAAATATGCTGATTTTGTGAATTGATGAAACAGTATCAGATTTACCATGGGCTCTGTGTACTGATGACATAGCCCGTGAAGCAGCAAACTTTTTTTTATTAATATATTTTTATTGATTTCAGAGAGGAAGGGAGAGGGAGAGAGAGACATCAATGATGAGAGTCATTGATCGGCTTCCTCCACGCCCCACACTGGAGATCGAGCCACCATCCAGGCATGTGCCCTGACCAGGAGTTGAACTTCGATCTCCTGGATCATCAGTCCACACTCAACTGCTGAGCCATGCCGGCCGGGTGGAAGCAGCAAACTTTTAAAATCAACTCTTAGGAGGCACAATACAGCAGCCTCTATTGTGGTTTCCGAGGCGCCCCGCTAGGCTGAATTTATCTCCTCTTTTACATCTGGACATTGCTTTCAGAATATGTGGGAACGCATAACATAGCTGAAACCCACGACCACATTGCTCTTTTAAAAAACAAACCCAGCCCTGGCTGGTGTGGCTCAGGGGTTAGAGCATTGGCCTGCACACCAAAGGGTTGCAGGTTCGATTCCTGCCCCCCCATCAGGGCGAGTGTGGGAGGCGACCAGTAGATGTGTCTCTCTCACATCGACGTTTCTCTCTCTCTCCCTTCCACTCTCTCTGAAAAGCAATGGGAAAAATATCCTTGGGTGAGGGTTAAAAAACAAAAACCCAATTAAACATCCAGCTGAAGAGTCTCCAGAGATAAAGATAGTCCTTAGAAGCTATAATTTAGCTTTTTACTTTGTTCCGTTGGTGTTCACATCTCATTTGGGCCTCCCACTCAATGAAGAAGGCAAGATGTGTATTATTAGTATCTAATTGGACAAAATTAAGAGAAAGAAACAACCTCTGATCATATGACTGGATGTGCTGGGGACAGAAATAGAATCTAGATTTTCTGTCTTGTGGTCCATCGCTTCTCCACATCACTGCTCCCAGGTGGTATCACCTCGCGCCATCCCACGAGTTTTGAAGGGCATTTCCCCCGTACAGACGTCTGTGATGTGTAGTACTTGACTTTAAAGTAACTACTGAAAAGATATATGGAATTCTTTCTAGTTCTTTCTTTCAGCTGGACTCTTGTAGAGCCTGCGAACCCAGAACCGAATGAGGAGTGCAGGGGAGGTGGTGGGGATTAGCTCTCCCTCTGCCCTCTTCATTGCTGGCTAATCACAAGGCTTCCTTCCTTCTGTTAAAACCCTGCTCTGAGGTGTGATAATATGTTCCCTTGACGGCCGCTGAGGCCTAATATGTAAAAATTAGCTCCATTTAGAGAGTGGTTTATTCAAGTACTTGTACTGCACCCTCACAGACTTGGTTTCTCAGATGGCCAGCAGCCTTTTAGAATCTGGCTTGATGAAAAGCGGGCTGTGACCGTTCGCCGGGTACTCGCCTGTGGACAGTTCCAGGCCGTTGTCAGCATTAATTTAATTAGATGCATTTTACTTCCAGGGTGAAAAGGAGCAGCCCGTGTTTGCAATGACTGGCCTTCGGTGGGGATCCTTCCGAGACGCTGGCGTCAAAGTTAGCAAGTAAAGGACTACTCTATGGGTTGTGATGATTTAAAAAAATCTTTTTCTTCTGTCCCTGACTTTGCGGTGTCAATTACATTGATCATCCAGGAGCAAACTTGGTGGGTCTGGAGGCTGCCTTATGTATGACTAATAGAGACAGAGGTGCATCTCATGCAGGAAGCTTGGGGGATTTTGGTTGCCTCCATGCTAGCTTGGTGGTGGCTGAGGAGGAGAGGATACGTCTTTGTTTCTAGACATACTATTTCAGGCCCAAGCTAGACTGAAGGGGAGCTGGATGGCCTGTCACCCCACTCATCTGGTACCAAGTGACAGGCCCCGATGGGGCGATGGCCTTAGGAGCGTTCACAGCCCTGGTCAGAGGACTCCCTGAGAGCTGTTCTTTGGAAGGCCTACAGGATTAGAGACCACAGGCTGCCTCTCAAAGAGAGAAAGTGGCTGCTGACCGTGTTGAGATGGAAGTAAGATGCCTATTGAGTTGTCAGTTTTTTATGGCAATGGCCTTGTTTTTGGAGGATTCACTGGGCAAGAGGGCATCCTGTTCTGTTTGAGGCTGAGAAGTGGGCAGGCAGAGGCCTCCTGGGCAGGACTGAAGGAGCCGCTGTGTGAGGCTCACTTCACACCTGGTGGATATTGATTTTGACTTTTTCTTTAAACGGGCTTACAGTTTTAGTTCAGTTTGAATGGATTATGCGTGATCTCACACACAGCTTTTAGCTTTTTTCTTCATGGGCATGTCTGCCAGTTTCTCAGCAGATTTCTCACTGTTTGCTCATTGCTCCTGCTAATGACTTTCCCGACAGTGGGATGTCAGCAAAGACATGTGACTGTGCTGCTTCACACTCGGCACTTTACAGTATTTCCCATCTTTTTATTTGCAAGTCTGCCAGGGTTATCTTGATCCCACAAGTTACCTTGTGCTTGATCTGTAATGTCAAATAATACCAGCAACTCACCAAGAGAAATTGCTTAATTTCCCCGGGAACAGCCTGGTTAGGACAGATTCCTTCTGAAATGTGTTGGTAGACAGGCGCAGGCGTAGGTCAGCCCCTTTAGGACTACCGCGCACACTTGCCATTGTTTTGATTGCTTTCTGAACAGTGATTTTCGAGATTTCGGTGGTTGTCTAGTACCTCAGCTAGGACCATGCCCGGAGGTACTCTGTGTGTATGAGGAAACTGGGGAGGCCGGGAGTGACTTCCTAGCTGGCCCTCGGAAGGCGACCCGCCCAGCGTCACAATGTGCCCTTGGTAGAGGCGAAGGGAACTGTGGACATTTAGAAATAGTGTCCTCATTGGGATGTGTTTCTATCTGGCTATCCAGGAAACAAAACAAATCATTCCCTTAACTGAAAAAAGATCAGACGATCCAGGGCCTCATTAGCAGCGTCACAGTATTAACCTGAGAAATAATTAGCAGGTGCCCCATCGCTCACCGTGTGCTCTCGAGGCTCATTCTTGCATCCAAGGCCCACGGTGCTCCGTCCCCACCCTGATGGCAGTGATGCATCTCTCCTTTTCAGCTGTTGCTCTGGCTCTTACCCTTTGTGTCTCCTGCACCCTGGCTGCTGCTCTTGCCTGGGATGAGCTCTTTCCCTCCGTCTTCTAAGGCCACACCGTACTGTGTGCTCGTGCCATTCATTGGACAGCGTGGCTGTTCCAGTGACTTTAGGCCCTTAATTTCTTGTCCCTTCTCGACTCTCCTTACCAATAAATAGTGATCAGTTTATACGATGTCGTATATATTTATATAGTCGTTTACTGTTTTCTGTTACTTCTTGGACCATATTTTCTCAAATTATAAGCCCTCAAAGGCAGGAATTTTATACTCTATTTCTTTGATTTCCCCCATAAGCACTAAATAAATGTGTATTGATCAGAATCAGATAGGGAGCAGTTAAGATGGGCTGGTTGGTGACAGCTAAATTTTAAGAGTGGAATCTACTTTTTACCACTTTTCCAATTCCAAGTAGCACCTTTCTCTCTGCAGCAGTTTTTATGTATTTAGCCACATGAAGTACCCTCTTCGCTCCCAGGGTTTATATTCGCCGTTTCAAAGCTGCATGGCACGGGTAATGTGGAATTAGGCTGCTTACAGGTTTTAATTGCATGTTTGTATGTGAGAGGGAACATTTCGGCTCGTGGGTAGCACGTCGGGTCACCAGCATTGCATCTTGTTGTGGCTTTGTCGTCTCTACTCAGTGCTCTTTGGCTGTGTACTCAGCTGTATTCTGTGGTTAAGTGTACGTTACAGCGATACATACAAATTTAGAGATTCAAGGAGACTGATTTTATATCCCTCGTAAATTGCGAGGATCTATCTCCTGTGTGACTAATTGCGTGCTGTTTGACGTGGCATTGAAATGCAGATTAAAAACTCCCTGTAACACTCCTTTATGCTAAAGCATAATCCCCAGGCCTCCGAGCACTCTCATAAGTAGGGGTATAATTTCTGTCACCGCACGTTGCTCGTTCTTTAATATTCTGGTTAGATTTTTATCTTGATCTTTTTCAGGTACTGGTATCTCGGGCCCCTGAAAACCAAAGCGGCTCACTTCTTCAGCACTCTTCAGGTAAGTGCAGTTTGCAATGTAGCAATGTTCCCTGAGTCATTTTGTTGTTGCTTCCTGATGTGCGCATTTGGATGATGTGTCTGACGTGCTGCAATACTAAAATGGGGGCGTTTACTTACATACAGATGCAGAAAGCATTCCTCGTGTACCAGCTCATTCCCTCCAGCACCGAGCCCTAGTTAATTTCTGTTTAACGTTCCACTTCCCTTTGCCAGTTCACTCACTCACTCGGGCCAAACTTGAACAGAATGACCTACATCTCATCAGTCATTTGCATGCCGGTATTAGTATCTAGAAAGGAACTGAAGATTTGTATCTGAATATATCTTGCCATGCAGGCTTGTGTATAATATAACAGGTTTCACACCGTGCTAGCCAAATGCAGTGGGAACTGCATTGGTCGGTCCAGGAATAGAACAGTTCCACCTTCAGAGGAGGTTCCATTGGGTGGTGCTGCTATAGGATATGTACTGAAAAGCTGAACAATGTATATTAATGAAAATGCTAATACAAGTCATCCTTATACTCTGTGCAGCTTTTATGCAAATCACAGTGTATAGTCAGTTTGGCTGGCTGATCTGAAGACTGGCAGGTGAAGTTTGAATGAAGGGAAAAGTTTGGTTCTTATGTTAATAGTCAGATTATCGCGTGGTTTTCTAATTATAGAAATAGTATATGGCCATTGTAAAGCATTGGGGAAACATTGCTCCCTTTACCTTCTAAATAAATTCCAGTTAATAAAATGCATTGTTACTGTTGCTCAAGGGAATCGTTTCATTGGTGGAACAGAGAGTGTATTTAGGAAGAAATCGAGTAACTGTGTATTTAAGTTGTGGAACCAGGACAATCAGATCCATCATTCCTTCAGCAAACAGTTAGTGGATGCCTGAGGTGGGACAAGCCCTCTGTGTACTTGAGTACAAAGTCCTATAAGACAGGTTTCTGCCCTCAAGAAGTGTCCCTGTGCTGGGAGTCAAGTTCAAGTAAATCAGTTTGGCAAGTATGATGAGAGAAACGGAAGGACTAAGGTGGAGTAGAGAGGAGGGGGCCGCTTCTCACTGGGGTCAGCAGTCTTCCCAGGGCAGGGCCACTTCTACTAAATTTTGAAGGCTCTGTAGGATTAGACAAAGGGCGTCTTGGTGGAGCAGCCGGGATGTGTGAAGTCACAGTGGTGTGACACGGTCTCACTGTGGCAGTGGAGCGGCGGGAAGGGGACTCTGAAGGTTAAGCAGAGGCAGCTGATGGCAGGTGGGCTCTGACGTTTGTTGTTAAAGCCCTGGGGACTGAGTTTTAAGCAGGGAAATGACATGAGCGGATCCGCGTTTTAGAGGAACTGCTTGGCAGCAGTGTGGACGGGAGGTCGGCGTGGGCAGCTGAAGGCAAGGGCATCAGAAGGCTCTTCGGGTCACCCGGGAGCGAGGTGGTCATGAGGCGTCGCCTAAGCTGGTGAGTGAGCACTGACAACCGGGTAGACTGAAGAGAGACTGGGGTGGAACCCTCAAAAGTTAGGAGAGTCCCGGGCTCCCAGACTTCTGGCTTGAGGGACCACAGTTTGTAACTAGAGCTTTCCATTAATGTCCATAATATTGGCTTAAGACCAAGTTTGTGAGGAAAGATGAAATTTTCGGTTTGGCACATATTGAGTTTAACATGACCCATGGTGTACAGACCAGTGGAGGTACAGTTGTGACTTAGGTCTGGAATTCAGCAGAGAGATCTGGGCTGAAGAAATAATTTTAATGTCTTAAGTGCGTGAGTAGCCTTGGAGGCCGTGAGCTGAGCTGCGAGGCTGGGCTCACCCGTTCTGGCCTCCGTGTGGAGTGTGATTCCGGAAGGGAAGAAACTATTGGATGCAGCAGAATTTCTGTTTCTTTTCTGTGTCACCATCAGTATACCAGAGACGAATGGATCACGGGGCCAATTCTATGCTCACTCTTAGTGGGGATTTTGGACAAGTAAGCAGTGGTGTTAGTCTGCTTTGATCTCTCTGCTCCACGTTACAGAGATCAGTGGAGGCAGCAGTTTCGAGTTCATGGTTTTCCAGATAGGCCTTTAATAGGAAAAGCAAACTGGAGCAGTCCATGCTGCAGATTAGAGACAATCCCATCCAAGAAGAGATTAATTGGCTTTCTAGCAGGTACAACTAGAATGACAACTAACCTTTGCATAGAGAAACTCCCAGAGGTTGGAACTGTGTGTTCATGACAAATACTTTTCTCTGGTCACTCTAAAAGGAGTGGCCCCAGACTCACCAAGCCTCTATCTCGTACACGGGACCTAAGGAGAGACCTCCCAGTGGAGCAGGAGAGACCCCTCCTCGGCCCTCTCTGTACCGGAGAATATTGCGGAGACTCGCATCATACTGGGCGCAACCGCAGGACGGTGAGCGGCGGGGGGTTGAAGATTGAGAGCCCTGGTCAGTTCAGGACCCTCCTAGAGCAGACTGCAAGTCAGTGTCAGGCTTACCCAGGGCAGATGCCTTTCAGGGACCACTGAGCCAGCCTTCTGTGTGCCACAGAGCAGGCCCAGACCATCACAAACAACGTCCCATGAATGGGAGCACCCTGTGTCATCGGAGACAGACGGCGGTTCCCTGTCGCTGACCTTTGTGTATTTCTGGCTGTGCTGGCAGGGATGCTTCGGGCATAGAGATCGCACTCAGCCTGGCTCTTTGTCCTGTGTGTAAGAAGGACGCACTGAAGGGAAGGGGCTGTCAGCAGACTGGCTGGGAGGCGAGCTCAGCAGCCGGCAGCTGGCCGTGGGTGGTGAGCAGGGAAATGTTAATGGGAGACGCTGACCCGAGTCTAATGCATTCCCACAGCCCTTTCCAAGGAGGTGAGCCCCGAGGTCTGGAGAGACGTGCAGCTGTCCACCATCGAACTGTCCATCACCACACGGAACAGCCAGCTTGACCTCGAGGTAAGTGCTGGTTTATCAGAAGCGCATTAGGTATCTGGGAGAAGTGACACAGGTGACATGCTCAGCCACTAAGTATTTTTACTTTTACTGTGTGCGGGCAGAGAGGAGAAGGGGTCAGGAAAAGGAGGGTGTGGTGCCATTAGGAGTGATCGCAACGAGAAGAAACAGCTGAGCGAGGTAGAGGCCGGAAGCTTATGGGGCTTGATCACATATTCTGGGTGCTGCCTAGTAGGACGACTGAGGGCCAGAGGCCTTTAGGGTGAAGAGCTGAGCCTTCTCTCATTTGTCACAGGGATAGAAATCATGGAACTGTGACTATATTAAGTCTGTAGGTTTAGGTCCCCAGGAAAAAAACACCTGTGTGTGTGTACGCACACACCTGTATGTTTACATACTATTTGAGTCCAATATGGTAGCCTCCAGCCACATGTGGCAATTTAAACTTAAATTCATTAGAGTTAAATAAAATTGAAAACTCACTTTTTCAGCCACAGTAGCCACATTTCAAGTGCTAGTAGCTACCATACTGGAAAGCACAGACCTAAAACATCCCATTCCTGGACAGGACTGCAATAGACAGTACACTGAAGAAATGCTGAACTAAAGCAGAAGCTGGCAGGCCTGTCTGCCACCTGTTTTCGTACAGCCCACAAGCTAAGTAAGAATTGATTTTACATTTCTAAATGGTTGGAAGACAGAAGAATTAATAATCTGTGATACATGAAAAGTATATGAGATTCAAGTTCAGTAGCTGTAAGTAAAGTTTTATTGGAACACAGCTGTGTTCACACTCATGCTTCTGTGGCCGCTGTGGGCTGCACTGGCAGTGCTGAGTAGCCGGGACCGAGACTGTGACCCCAAAGCCTCCAACGTGTACCATCTGGCGATTCTCAGAAAGTTCACTGAACCTGGTATAGAGAAAACCTTAGTAGTTCATATTAAAGAGAACTCCAACAGGAAAGTTATGCTGAACTGTAGACGAATTACTAAAAATCAGGTTTTATGCAGATCAAAGTGGTATGTTCATAACTGACCTGGTCAGTCTGGAAACTGGCACGTGGAATGAACGTAGCGATGGTGGCGAATGTGCGAGTGGAGTGACCCGAATGAGGTGAATGCGCTGAACGTTTTGACTCCAATGTTAACATTCAGAGTATTGAGTTGTTTTCTGATTATAAAAGTAATGCATGTTCATTGTATAACATAGCTCCCTTTACCTTCTAAATTAATTCCAGTTGGATTAGAATTAAATGTAAAGAAACAGAACCATTAAAGGCCTAGAGTAAAAGCTGAGTGATTATCAATATAAAGTTGGGGAGCACAGATCTTTCTGAGCATGGAACCTAAGGCAAAATCATATTGATGCATTCGTCTATATATAATTAAAAAGAAATTACAGACAAAACTTTTAATGACACATGGGGGAAAGTAATAGAATGTGATAGACCGGGAGTTAGTAGCTTTCCTCTATAACAAACTCCTTAGGATAAATCAATAAATGGGCAAAGGGCTAATATAAACAACAGGCAAAGGGGAAGAACAGAAATCCACAAAAGAAAGAGAGATGAAAAAAAAAAAAAAGCTTATATTTACTGACTACCTACCATGTGCTATGCCCTATCCTTGGAATTTTACATATCAGCTCAGGTAGCCTTCATGTCTACATTATTAGGTAGATAGAATTTTACCTGATTTCACAGGTAAGGAAACAGAAGAATAGCTCAGCATCAAAGAAATGGAAATTGAAATGGTAACTATTGAACTGTCAGATTGAAAAGCACACTGCTGTCCAGTGCTGGGTGGGTGGGGAAGGGGGCAGGCTCTCGTATTCTGATGGGAATATAAATCAGAACACCCTTTCTCAATGGCATCGTGGCTATGTGTAGGAAGCATTTAAAATATAACCATACCCTGGGACCTATTGAGTATATTTCTAGAATTTATCAGATTAATACATAGTGTGGACAGTCCCTTATTTCTCACATGGGCCACTGGAAACGTCGGTGAAAGTGGATGTATTATGGTTTTAAAAAGAATAGGTTCTGTTCTAGAGGGATTTAAAAAGGAAAGATAAGATTTCTAATTCTACGCGTCCTTTATTCCCGATCGCTGACAATGCGTATCTCCAGTGTTTTGTCCCTGTGCTTGAGCACGGTGCTTTCCCCCGGTGATTGAATGCCAGTGAATGGAGGGAGTCCAGGGAGTCTGGCTCAAGATTAGCTGCATGCAGCAGGCCGAACGCTTTTTATCTCCGTGGCAATTATGAAAGTATATGATACGTATCACTCGTAGCAGCACATCCATTTTCCTTTTTCACACCTCTTTGTAAAAATAAAAGCAAGTGTCATAAAATATTCAAAGACAACGAAGCTGCCAAGTCACAGCTCAGGATGTTCATTTATCGTTTAAAGACGTATATTCAGTCTCAAAGAGGCATGAGGGGTGTGGAGTGGGTGAAAATTAGGATCCCTTGTGCAGCCATGTTCACTGTTTATAACAGTAACACACATGGAACGAGCTAATCGGGACCGATTCAATCCATTTCGGTACATTTATTTAAAACCTGCCTCTCTATTTACTGACGTGGAAAGGTGATCATCATGTATTGTTAAATGAAAAGCCAGGTTAAAGTGATTTGCATCAAATAATTCCATTTTTATTTTAAAAAGAAATACTTCCACCTGTAAACGAGTTTTGTGAATGATAGAGGTAAGGCTCCAATTTTATATTCTTTCCATGTGGGAAGCTAGTGTCCAAGTACCACTTGTTGAGATGGCCACTCCCCCCACACAGCACTGATGGCAAAACCTGTCAAACTTTTAGCAGATGTCTGCAGATATGGAAATGTTTGTAGTTTCTCTACTCAATTGCTCTATTTTTCTATAGTTGTACTAGTTCTATGCTCCTCTGAATTATTGTTTTACAAGTCCACTTATTTTTAAAGAGTCTCTTGGCTATTCTTAACCCTTTAACCTCTATAAATCCCTTGGAATGTTTATTTTATTAAGTTCCGCATAAAAATCTGTTACATTGACCAGAATTACATTGAACCTGTAGATCAATTTGAGGGGAAATGACATTTCTACAATATTGACTCTCCTATTGACTGAATGGCGCATAGCTCTATATCTATTTAGATTTTTTATTTTTCATTGAATTTATTGGGATGACACTGGTTAATAGAATTATAGATTTCAGGTGTACAATTCTAGAATATATCATCTGTGTATTGTGTGTTCCCCACCCCAAGTCTCCTTCCATCCCCATTTTACCCCCTTTTACTGCCCCCCCCCTCTGGTAGTCACCATACTGTTGTGTCTGTGAGTTGTTTGTTTTTTGTTTTGCTGAATCCCTTCACCTTTTTCACTGAGCCCCACACCTCCCTCCCCTCTGACAGCTATCAGTCTGTTCTCTATGGGCCTGTTTCTAGTTTATTTAGTTCATTAGATTCCACATACGAGTGAAGTCATGTGGTATTGGCCTTTCTCTGCTGGCTTATTTCACTTAGCATAATGCTCTCCAGGTCCTTTCTTTTAACGGCCAAGTAGTGCTCCCTTGTGTAGATTTTTAATGTCTTTCAATCAAGTTTTATAGTTTATAACATTTTGTCTTTTGCTCTATACATATGCCTGGTAATCTTAGTTTTTGATGGTACTGTAAATAGTATCTCCTAAAATTTCATTTTTTAACTATCTGATTTAGTAGAAGAACATGTCATTGGTTGTTTATATTGATGCTGAATCAGCAAATTAAATTCTTATATTAAGTTTATGGATTCCTTTGGATTTTCTACTGATTCAGTCATTTCAACTGCAGATAGTACAAGTTTGTTCTTTGCTTTCAAATACTTAGCCTTCTGATCTTCCGTCTTACCTACCACCTTGGCTAGGGCCTCAGCACCGTGTTGAAGGGAAATCGTGACGGAAGCATTGCTGTCCTATTTCTGGTGTAGAGAGAAGGTTTCATTGCTTTGTTCTTGAGTGTGATGGATCTTTTGTAGATACCCTTTATAAGATTAAGGAGTTCCCTTCTATTCCTAGTTTGCTGAGAGATTTTATCATGAGTGGATATTTAATTTTATCAGGTACCTTTCCAGCATCTGTTGAGATAAGGTTTTCTCATTTAGTCTCTCAATGTAGTACAACACATTGATTTTTGCACTTGCACTATTTGCAAAAGACAAATCCTAGACTTGTATGTGTAACTGTCTAATACACATTTCAACCTCAGCATGTCCGGAACTGAGCTCCTGACTCCACCCCCGGAAACCCGTTTCATCCACGCTCCCCCATTGCGGTTGACAGTGACTCCAGTCTTCCGTGTGCTCAGGCCGGACATCTTGGAGCCACTCTTGGCTGCTGCTGCTCCTGACATCTGATCTCTGAGGAAGTCCTGGTGGCCTCACCTTCTAAATACTGCCAGCACTTCACCAGATCTCCACCACCACCTGATCCACCACCACCTGATCCAAGTCACACAATAGGTTCCGACGCAGTCTACCCGCTTTCTTCTGTCCCCCTTTATCCTATTCTAAACACGGTAGCCTGTGAGATTCTAGTCACATGAAGCCAGGTCTTTCTCTGCTTAGAACCTTCCAGGGGCTCCCGTTTCACTCAGCCAACAGCCAGTTCCTTGGAATGGTCAGCAAAGCCCTGCTGCTCTGTCTCGCATCTTCTCTGGCTTCTTCCCCGTCGCCCCCCACCCACACTGCTCCGGCCACTCTGGCTTCCTCACTGTTCCCCAGACCAGTGGTCCTCCAGGTGGCCTCAGATCAGCAACCACAGCCTCACTTGGGAACTTTCATTAGAAGCAGAAGTCCTTGGGCCTCCCCCAGATCTTGTGAACCATCAATGCTGAGCATGGGGTTGGAGTTGGAGTTTTAACAATCCCTCCAAGTGATACCTGCTGAAGTTTGAGAACCACTGCTTGGGTCCATGCTCATTCCCTCACCTCCTTCAGGTGTCTGCTCAGAGGCTGCCTTCTCAGTGAGGCCCACTGGACCCCTTTAGGAACATCACCACCACCAGTGCCACTGGCGTTCCCTCATCCAGTTCTTTCATTTTCCTAATGGACTCTAATGTACTTGTCTTCTGCTTTATAATTTACCACTTACGCCATATGTATTCATTCCACAATTCACTGTCTTTATACTGGTGTACTCTAACTTCTGATATGCTCTGTCATTCATTTATTTTTTTATTATGGCTGTTTTGTTTTGTTTTTGTTTATCCCCTCCTTTCTCCCTGGTAGAGTGTACGTTCTTTGTAGGCAGAAATTGTTGGGGTTTTTGGTTCATTGACGTAACTCGAGCACCGAGTGTTCACTCAGTAAGTCGACAGTAAATAAAAGATGAGCTCGGAGCACAGTCATCTCCTCTTTGTGTTCTAATTCCCAGTTGAGAGATAAGGTTGTGCTTTGGTCTGGCCTTGAATCTTTGGCAAAGGCTGCCAGCTTCCAGAGGCCTGTGGGTTTTCCTGGGGCTACAGACTTTGAACCTGTCCACAAAGAAACCTCTTATTTGAAGCAGACACAGGAAGAAGTGATGGGGCTGAATGACAGAGGATCAGGTTTGTGTTGCTAGCCAGACTGGTAGGAAATTGGGGGACTGGTATTAGAACTAAGTCTGTGTTTGTAGCCACTTCCTTGTAGCTCACCTCTCCCAGAGCTGTCTGTGGTTGGGAGTGGCACGTTTTTAAAACGTCACCACGGCATAAGTGGACTGCTCCTGAGCTCTGGCTGCACACCAGGTCTGCACGTGCAGCCTCTAAAGATGCGTGGGCCCTCCACGCCAGGACGCCGACAGCGAGTGTGGAGTGGCGCTGACGTACAGGAAGACTGGCTGGGATAGTGGGGCCGAATCCTGGGGCCTCTGACAGAACTTCCCAAACCTCCAAGCCTGAGTTTTTATTTATCTTACATAGGTAGTATGTAAATTATGCCTCACTAAAGATCTTAATGTAAAAAGAAGGACCAAAAATATATTCAGGATTAAGTCACTAAAAGTCAGTCCCCTGCATAATACACAGCTTCAACATCGAACCTCCGGGGCTTAAGGATGACCACCGGCTGCACCAGCCAGAATTCGGAGTATTGACGTTTGTCTTCCCAACCTTTCAGAGCACAGAAGACTTTATGAACATCTGCATCGAACCTGACAGTGTCAGCAAAGGAGACTTCATAACCCTTGGGTGAGTGGATGGAGACGCCATAGCTGTGGGTAAGGGGACTGGTTTGGAGGAAATGGGGCTGAAGTCGTTTGGATGGCATCGTACTGGATTCGGGGTGCCCATGAAGCCTGTCTCAGGTAACCACAGCATTCTTTGTTTCGTGGGGTTCACGTGTCCAGTGCCCCTTTCTCCCTTTGGCCTTCCCTGTTCATTTTGGGAAGATGGGAGGACGGGAGCAGCCTTTGCCTTTTGACGGAAATGAAGGAACCTGGTGTAACGCGGCAGAGTGTCTGGAATTTCAGCTTCAGGGTCGGAATTGCTGGGTTCGGCCACTCTCTGGCCTCATGTTTGGGACAGATCCTTACTTCTCTGAACCCCTTTCCCTGAGTGTGGACTGGGGTAATAGAATCATCTCTGTCTTGGATTGTTTTTGAGTCTTAAATGAGAGGAGGTGTGGGAAAGCCCTTTTCATTGTGACATACTTCACAGTGTTAGTTGCTATTTGTCAGTCCACCTTGTCCTATTCTCGGGGTGCTAATGAAAAACCTGAAAAGGTATTGAGTGCCTTGGACATTTTCCAGGTTTCCCCTGCACCACAGAAAAGTCTCACCTGATTTGTTAGGCCCTGCGGCCGCCAGCTTTATTGACGGAGCAGCTCTGAGCGGCGCCTGTCACCTGCCGTCACGGGCCCACGCGACTGTGCGTCTGCTCCCTGCTCCGGCTCAGGGCTCCCCCTGGTGCCCAAGGACGGGATGCGGCGTCTCCGCGGCCGTGGCTGGGTCTGCAGGGCTCCTTCATTGTCTGCACCAGTAGCCGCTGCACCGCGTCTCTCGTTAGCTTGTGACGCTTCTGCAGCCTTTGGTTTACTTGCTGCATCTAGTGAAAGGAAGGACAGACGCTTCCTCAGTCCGTAGAGTGCGCAGCAGCCACCCGCTGTCCCAGTGGAGAGTCTGGGCGGGGCCCTGATTTCAAACCTCCTTTCTAGTGACCTCCAGAGCCAGAGGAAGGCCCATCGCGTTGCTTCAGCGGAGCATCGTGCTCCCCGTAGCTGCCGGGTGGCAGCAGTGCCGCGGCTCCTGGTCCCCACAGGAAGTGACGCGGTAACCCCTGTTCCCGGCCTCTGGCTAGGACACTTGAAGCTGCTCTAGGAAACTGATGCAGAGTTCCCGCTGTCAGTTACTGAGAAGGGACGGGCTGGTTTGCTTGGATTAGCCNCTGATGCAGAGTTCCCGCTGTCAGTTACTGAGAAGGGACGGGCTGGTTTGGGACGGGCTGGTTTGCTTGGATTAGCCTCTGCTCTTTCTCCGTTTCCCACGACCGGCTGTGGGGGGCTGTGCGGGGAGAGCTGTTCTGACGGTTTTACTCCGGCCTCCGCCTTCCGGTGAAGGGGAGAGGTACAGTCAGCAGGGAACTCGGTGTAAACTGCTGGTTCACATCTATCACAGAGATATCTATCTTACGTTAAAACAAAAGGTTTCTCCTTCAAGAGTTGGCTCACAAGAAGTACCAAATAACAGAAGTTTAGTACTTTTCCTAAAGAACTTAATTTCATTCTAATTTTGAAATTTGTGGTTTTTAATAGCCCAAGAATTGGGTACATGTGGAGTATTTAAAATCAGTCTTAACGTCATGCACAGCTTTCTGCAGCAAGCAAGCCTCTCAATCCAGACTATCCCAGTGCTAAGCAGGAGTCCTGGCGGGAAGATTACTCACAGAACCGCACAGTGTTCAAGGGACCATAAGTCCACTTAGTCTCATCAAAACCAGAAAACTTGCTAGGTTCCTGGTCTAACGCAGTCGCTGGCACTAGTTCCCAAGCTTCCCTTTTCCTCTCACAGAAGTAAAAAGGTACGAGACCCCAAGCTGCGCGCCGAGGGCACCGAGTGCCTGCAAGCCAGCCAGTGCACCCTGCTGCTCCCCGAGGTAAGCGGCGGCTGGCCCCCAGCTCGCCTGCCTTTCTGCTTTTCCCCTCCTTCAGGCACCTAGGGAGACCCGAAAGATGACAAAATCGAATGTTTTTAAGCTAAGGTTCTGTAAAGTGATGTTTAGGTCTCCTGAGCCGTTCCCCCCGGCCCCCCATATGTAAATTATGCAGAGAGGTACTAGATTGTCACACAGAAAGCTCTCAGATGTTAACAGTGGATTCTGCCTCCACAACTGTCATGAAGGATCTGGAAGCAGTTTCCAGAATGGCACTAAATTTTTCTGTATTGAGATGCCAAGCCTAGAATAACAACCCATGTAAGTGGAAAAAGGTTGGCAACTCCGTCTAAACTGTAAGCTTGTCGTAGTGACACCTCAGGAAACTGCCTCTACAGACGGGGCCACTGTCCTGCTGTATCCAGAAAGGACTGCAGTGCCCCAGTAGTTTCAACATAGAAATGTTGAATTAGATACATGTCATGGGAGCGTTTTATGGGCTCCGTGACGGTGCTTGCTGTACCTTAAGTACAGAGCTAAGCAAGTCCTACGAAAGAACCTAGAGAACAATCCAGTGGACATTTTCTCACATCTCCTTTGAGAAAGACTGAGACAGAGGACGTGGGACATGAGTATGTTCATGAATTCCTTCCTCAAAGATGTGGCAGGAGCCCTGCCTTTTAATATATATTTGAAAAGTATAACCTTGCTTCTCAAGTCCCCAAATACTCTGGTAAGAGATAATAAAAAACCCTCTTCCATGGCTGGTGGAATTGGGATGTTTCCAGAGCCAGCGCGAGGCCCATCGTAGGCCCGGGACTGTTTTCCCGAAAGAACATTAGGCTCGATCCCCAGGACGAGCTGCGGCGAGGACAGGACAGGACCGCCAGGCGCGGCGCGAGTGAGCCGAGCCCTCACGCTGTCTCCTCCGCAGGGCACGGGGGGCTCCTTTAGCATCGACAGCGAGGAGTACGAGGCGATGCCGGTGGAGGTGAAGCTGCTGCCCCGGAAGCTGCAGTTCTTCTGCGACCCCAGGAAGAGAGAGCAGCTGCTGCCCCGCTCCGCCCAGTGAGCGGCAGGAGGCCGCCAGCGGGACCAACGGAGCTGATGCCTCGCCTGTCCCCAGTGCTGTCAGGGGATCCCAGGGCATTTCCATGGCACGCCCCTCTGCCCTTCTCACAGTGCTCCCCAAAGTGTGCTGGGCACCCGCCTTCCTAGCGCATGCTTTACTCCGAGACAGCTGCTCCCCAGGCTAGTTCAAGGGCGACTCACACTCAACGGCGGGAAGAGGGCTAGACCTCCTTATATCCCCAGTGCAACCACAGTGCGAGCAGGCGCCAGGCTCGCCCCTCCCTTCCCGTCTGTTCTCTGGCCACCCTAGGACCCCCCGCCACCGAGTCCGGCTCCAGGCACCCCCATAGGTGCTGCTGCTTGGCGAGCTCTGCTTGTTTCAGGACAATCCTCAACCCAAAAATGTAGCCGAGGTGTTTCCCTCTTCAGCCTGGGCTGGACTACTGTAAATACCCGTGTTTTTTGTAAGTAGTGTTTCTTAAATATTTAAATGTTGGCTTGCATGACGACTAGCTGGGGTGCATGTTGAAAACTGACTTCATTGGGCTCCAACCCAAACCTAAACAACTCAATCCAGGTGGAGCCCAGGAATCCGCATTTTTTCTAAAAAGCAGCCTCCCTTTCAGATTATTCTACAGGTTGTCCCCCAGCCTCACCGGGACAAAGTGTTGTAAAGCCGCAGACTTCCTAGAACTTTCAAAAACCACGTATCCTGTCCCACTTTTAGATGTAACTTAAAAGTTTTCATGGGAAGTTAGAGTTGCCAAAGTATGTACTTTCTGCTGTCCTGTAAATACTGATATTTTAACTCTTTTAAACATATTCATCCATTTACAAAAAAAATAAACAAGTTCTTTAGTAGTTGGAAATTTTAAATGGAGCTTTCTCCATGTATGTGTATTTCCATAGTACTCTCAGCAAAGANCCTGTAAATACTGATATTTTAACTCTTTTAAACATATTCATCCATTTACAGAAAAAATAAACAAGTTCTTTAGTAGTTGGAAATTTTAAATGGAGTTTTCTCCGTGTATGTGTATTTCCGTAGTACTCAGCAAAGCATGCTGTCTAGTGCGACCTAATTTTATGCTTGAGGTTTTAGTTCTTTAAGTGTAACTCTGTACAGAATAAGTGTTACAAGGTTTTGATAATTAAAAGTTAACTAATTTTAAAAATCCAAGAATACACGTTATTTATAGCTAAGGTGAGACAGGAGCCCACACTATATTCCTTGTTCCATTTTTTATAGATCTAAGCACATAAATAAGTAGATGAGATATAACAGTTATATCTTTCTAACTCCAAAGGAATTCGAAATGCTGCATGACATGGTGATACGGCAAAAATCAGTGCTCTGTCGTCAAAAATTATGAAAAATGCCTACCAGCGGCTTGGTTAGGTCTTCCTTCAGGTGCTGAAAGCAGAGGGCCAGAAGCTCCGTGAGCTGCTAAGGACTCAGCCAGTCGTCACCGCTCACCTTCAGTCTCCCGGGGCCACCTCCTTTGCTGTGCCCTGANCTGAGGAAGGAGGAGGAGGGGGCCGGGCCCGCTGTGGGCGGTCAGCTCTGGGGCCCCGTGGCAGCTGCTCTAAAGGGTCACAGAGCAGCTGCGAAGAACAGGGGACAAGGCTCACAGGGGACAAGGCTCACCTGGGTCGCCTCGGAGAGGTACCAAAGCTGTGCTTCCGCCACAAAAAGTGGCAGGTGGGTCCCAACATGCAGTGAGATGAGCCACTTGACT